CCTGCTAAGCCTGCCTACCGCATGTATCGCGAACTGTTCGCCCATGAGCAGGACTCGAGAACCAAATCAGACATTTTTGTATGTAAAGCGCATTCTATCTTAGCACAGTTGCCTTCTGCTACGCTTGCGGAAGAGATCCAGCTTGATATGGTTAACGAACTTTTGCATCGTAAAGTTCGCGAGAAAGTTCCCCGCGATAAAGTAGCGTCATTTAGTGAATTACTCACGCAGACGCGCTTAGTAGAAGAGACTTTTGACGTTTCTAGTGAACCGACAGCATACAACGACTCCGGTGCAGTCAAAAAATGCTGTTCGTTTTGTAAATACACTGGACACACATTTGACGCATGTCGTAAGCGAATAAATAAAAATAAGTCTGCTGATAGACAAAATTCACCTTCGGTAACTTTGAGTCCTGCAAAGCCGCCGGAACCTTCAGCATCCAGTGCTACGTGTTATGGGTGTTGCGCGCCGGGATATATAAACAGTAACAGTCCGAATTGCAAACCGACACAAACTAATGCAAATACGGTTATCGTGGGACGAGATGTCGAGTTTTTGTTCAATTCCGTGAACGATGAAACTCTGGAAATAAGGCCACTGGTGGGTGTGCATTCCGTGTCAACACCACACGGGTGCGAAACGCAGTGCTGCCGGTGCTACATTATCTTGCCTTTTGTTAAATGACTCCGTTCCGTTTACCACCGAGCGTTTATCCATGACTTTAGCAGACGGTGTTACGAGGAGAGTTGACACTCGCCTATTTCGATGTGATGTCTTGCTACAGAATAAATTGGTTTCCACAAAATTCATCTCTGTACCTGAATACGACAACAGCCGCACACTTCTCGGTACTGATTTCATCAGAGCGACTAACCTCCTCCTCAACGTGCCTCAAAACCGGTATAGTTTTGGTGAAGATCCTGTAAATATTTACCTTCTCGATTCGAATGTTGATATCACATGCGTTATCAATACTGTACAGTGCGACCAACTCGAACTTTGTGACAACGAAGCACGGATGCTTAGCGAAAAACAACGATGTACACTCAACTCACTTCTTTGTGAATTTTCTAAAATTTTCGTTCCTTCAAAAGATCCGACTTCGTTTACCGAGCATAGCATCGTATTATGGATGACACACCCATCGCAGTACCGCCGTATAGGATGTCGGAGCCCAAAAAATCGCTTCTTCGTAAAGAACTCGACAAGCTACTAGAAAACGACTACATTGAAGAAAGGGAGTCACCGTACGCAGCGCCTGTCGTCCTCGTGCCCAAAAAGAATCACGAGTTACGTCCCACGATAGAGTACCGAGCCTTAAATGCCATCACCAGACCAAACAGATACCCTATCCCGAGAATTGATGATCTTTTTCACGCAGCTAAGCAAAGGGGTTGCATCATGACCTTAGACCTCAGGAGCGGATATCATCTGATTAGAGTGAAGCCTTCTGATAGGGACAAAACTGCATCCGTTTGCCCTTTCGCTACCTACCGTTACAAGCGCATGCCATTTGGACTTTGCAACGAGCCCAGTACTTTTCAGCGCCTCATCGATAGGTTTAGGTCAGGAATACAAGACGTCTCCATAGCCGCTTTCCAATATGCACATTGGCGCGCTCTGGCGCGCTCTAGAGCACCTCGGGGGCGCCACGCACTAGATTTGTACCGTTCCAGTATCATGGCGTGAGACGCCTGTCTTAGTGTCAAATATGTCAAATTTTAAAAATAATTATTTGTTTGTTTGTGCAGTTTGTTTTTTTATTTATCAAAAATGAAAGAGAATCAAAACTATATATTTTAAAATGTTCAATCTTGAGATATAACAAGAAATAAATAGATAAATAGCCACTCACGAATGTGACAGCTGATAGGTTGACGCGTACGTTCGGGAGCTCAACGCTCCGAGTAGCTCCGGGCGTCACACTCCCATACTGGAAAGCGGCTCATGTTGGCATACCTTGATGACTTGATCATCATCATGTCATCGTCTTTCGAAGACCATTTAACCGACCTCAGCAAAGTATTCTTGCGACTTGCGCAGTACAAGTTAACACTTAATCGACCTAAATGTTCATTCGCCTGTGCAGCCGTCGATTATCTAGGACACATTCTCTCCACGGAAGGAATACGTCCATGTGAAAATAAAGTCGCTGCCATCATGAACATGTTACTACCAAAAAACGTCAAGCCACTGTTAGGATTTATCCAAACGTGCTCATGGTTTCGTCGACACTGACCAAGAAAAACGTTAAGTGGACCTGGGGTCTAGATCAAGCTGCAGCTTTCAGTAAGCTTAAAATGATTCTATGCTCTGCCCCAATCCTGAGGCAAGCAGACAGCAGATTGCCATATACCTATCCTACGTGACTAAATGGCTTATGATACTCAGGTCACCAAGTGGCAGACTTGCTCGTTGGGCACTAGAGCTCATGCCCTACGACATCAAAATTGAGTACATCGTTGGTAAGAAGAATGTCATAGCCAACACACTGTCTAGTCCACCATGTGAAAGAGACGATACCGACGATAACATCAGAATAAACCTAGTTTCGATCGACTTTCCTACACTCAGCGCTGCAGACGTCCGAGAAGAAAATCATGAAAAGTTTGGAAGACTCCAATGACCTTGATATCCACTCCAAGAAATTGGCAGAGCGTGGATATATACTAAATAACGGTGTTCTGTATCGATACACGCATAAAGCCGAAGAAGAACCTCAACTAGTGGTGGCAAAGACAAGGGTCCCACACGTGCTCACCCAGTACCACGATTCCGAGACTGCGGGCCACTACGGAAGTGAGAAAACGTACCAGTGCATAGCATTCTGATATTTCTGGCCTGGTATAAGAAAGGAAATCATAAATTACGTGAGCAGGTGCCTCCAGTGCCAAAAGTACAAGGTGTCCCACCTTAAGCCTGCTGGACTATTGCAAACCCCCACGTAGAACCAAAAATTTGAAGTCATAGCTATTGACTTATTTGGCCCTTCGCCTGCTAGCCAAGAAGGATTTACATGGGTGTTTGAAATCGAAAACACAGCTAGTAGATGGACTGAGCTTTTCCCTCTCAAGGCAGCCCTGGCACAAGCATGTGCTACTTGTCTAATTGATGAAGTCATCCTGCGCTACGGAGTGCCTCGTTGTGTTCGTCAGTTCTGTTATGCAGCACGTAGCAGAATGCCTTGGATTTCATCAGAACTTGATACCAGTCTATCCCAGCTGAAAATCCTGTGGAATGGAAGAACTTGGACTTGAAGACCCAGTTAATCATCCTCACAAATGAAGATCATACCGTGTGGTCATCTAAATTGCCGGCTATTCGATTCGCAACGAACACCGCACGCTATAGTTCCACCGGATTCACCCCGGCCCGGTCGCTCGGCACTTCTAATGTAAATTTACATTAGAAGTGCTGAGCGACTGAAAAGCGGTGAGCGTTTTTGAGAACGAGAATACCGGGCCTGATATACGGCCTGTCAACTACGAGATGTCAACGTTTATAGTGCAATAACGCAAATTTCATTTCGTTTTCTTTGTTAATACCAGACCAATATACAGTAATCAGCTTTCTCTATCGGTTCTAGTTCAATTCTTCCCGTGTACTCAACTTCCCTAATAATTTTCTCAAAATTTTTAATTCTTAACATCACCGTGAAATATACACTAATTTACGGGTCAATTCTGTGCACATCTGTAAGCAAATCTATAATGGGTCAATTCTGTGCACATTTGTAAGCAATTCTATAAATTTCTATAAGCCTAAAGACAATTTATAATTCTGCACGTCCTGTAGATTACACAATATATTATAGGATCGTAAATATTTCCGATGGAGTATTTGGCAATCGATGCGTTTTGCAGTGTTTGCAGGCTTATAGAAATGTATAGATTTGCTTACAGATGTGCACAGAATTGACCCGTAAATTTTTATAAGCCTATAGATACTGCAAAACGCATCGATTGCCAAACAATTCGGAAATATTCACGATCTTATAAGATATTCTGTAATCTACAAGAAGTGCAAAATTGCAAATTGTCTATAGGCAGCTATAGGCTTATAGAAATTTATAGAATTGCTAAGAGATGTCCACAGAATTGACCCATTAATTTGAAACTTACTTAATTGTATTATTGGTTTACCTATGTCAAGATTTGGTTGAGTTATATGCCTGATTTATTTCTTTTTCAGAATTATCAATTACCGTTTGCTGATTATTTTTTTTTATGTGTGTTTCTGAATTTTCAGCCTTCAATATTTTATGTAATTTGATTATTTATTATTTTTCAAATTCAGTAACGTCCTTGCCATTCTGTACAAATAATTATATTTCTTAGAAATAGCGAGAACGGAATTCAGGTCAATGTATCGAAATAACGCGATTTCATGCAGGAATCTAAGCGTATTTAAACAAGCAGGTAGAGAGAACCAAAAATCAGTCCAAGGTAGTCTATAAAGTCAAAAAGTAAACGGTCATCAGATAAAAAACGCCTCGAACATCAATTTAATTTCGCACTTAAAATCAAATCTTGTCCGTGAAGAATTTGAAAAAGTAAAGAAGTCGTGAAAGAAAATTTAATTCGTTCTTCATTATGTGCGTGCACTAAGCGATCAAAAGATTTATTTCACTAGAAAAATTTAGTGGATTAAGAAAAAATTGTAAGTACACGTAGAAAAATTGAGACTTTTGTATATACTCATTCATGTATTGCATGCATATGGAGCATAACAAGAGGATAATTTTCTGCGGAGTTTTGAATTGAAATTGTATTTTATAATAATTTTAATTTGATATTTTTTTCTTTCAGGTTCCTCATCGTAACTTGCTGCTTGAGCTTATCTTCTTAGAAGTTTCCTCAATAACCTTCTCTCCTATAGAGCTATAATGGCATTAAGAATAATAGGTAATTTCCCATTTCTAGTCAAGAGCATTAGCCAATCTATATTTTAAGGTTTAAAAATTCTGAAATAATTTAAATTTCACTAAATTTACTCACCGGTTCCGCTGGCAGCGGCCAAACCTCCTGCAATGCCGGTCATGGCAGGATTTTTTTCAGTCTCTGATCCTTTTTCAGTGTTCATCTGTCGTCTTCTGCGAATGCGTTTGCGAGCAGTTTGAAATATTCGCCAGTACAAAATCAAAATCACCTGAAATTATTCGAATACAAAATCACAATCGAATAATCGTTTTGCGGCGCTTACCAATAGTGGCAAATAGAATGAGGAAGCGGTCGCGAATATTTGATAGTAAAAGTCCTGACTGACCAGGCATTGTTTCTGGTATATTCTCTCTTCCCATTGGGGATCTTTCCAGCCGAGCAACGGAGCGATGCAGACAAAAAACGACACCGTCCAAATAACGAAAATCATAATTCCGATACGTTTCGACGTCCTGTGGTGGATGTATTCGACATTCGTCACCGCCCAGTATCTGTATAGAAAAAAATAACTTATATTATTTGCTTTCGAACTTAATTAAATCATCAGATTCTTATTAAAGCTCCGTTTGCTTTTGACAAATTGTCCGCCAGATTTCTTGGGCAAACAATAACAGAAAGATGGTAACATGTTGCCGGGGGGCATTAAAAGTTCGTCGCCTTCTGAGAAAGCAATATCGAGAAATACGGTCCCCGAAACGTAATAAAATTATCGTCTGGAACGGACTGGTTATATGTTTCATTTTAAAAGGATCGCGATTCTGGCATTATTGTACGTTTCGCAAAATAATAATAACTTTTTCCCATTGCCCAGTAATAGAAAAGATTTCAGGCCGGGTGAACCCGCGCCGTCCTCAGACGGTTTTATGGGTCCCGGACTTTTATATGCAATAATCGAAAAATTATCGTTTTTAAGTTTATTGCTTTTTTTTTTTCGCTTTGCTTAAAAGATTTTTATGGGTTTCTATTCTGCTGATTGGACACACAGTCGTCGGAGAGGGACATAAAATAAAAGTTTCGGATGCAACTCTGGATTTCAATTCGATGAATCTGGGTGAAGGATGATTGGATTTTTTCAAAGGAGAGTAATAGAGTGAGAGGCATTTTACGCATAGCTTAAAACTGTAACTGTGTGTTCAGTAACTTTTCCATCAATTTTATAACTGGTGCAATGAAAATCATACAAACTAGGGCTCCTACAAGAAGCTTGGGAATAAAATGGTCGCGAAATAGGATTAGGCAGAGTGGAAAGATCTATTTTCTATAAAAGGGACATCCAACTGAACCGAAGGACTTAAATCTATGTCGATAGACGAATAGAGTCCACTCTAATTGCTAACTTCTGCTCTAGAGACCTAGTAGCGGTAAAGCTATAATGCTTCAAGAACAGACTGGGACAGAGCAGATCGATAGTAGTTTGCTCGGCCTATCTGTCCCCCGACTCAACAGATGATCCCCCAGTTCATCGATTTGGTGAAGTACTGTAACTCACTGGGCCTTCCGTGCGATGCGATGCCAACGGACCAACATGAACCGGAGAGGGCTCAGCCTTCTGGAGTACCTTCACACCACGGATTTAGAAATCCTGAACCGTGACAGCGGACCGACCTTTGTCACTTCGCGTATACAAGAGGTGATATACTTGACATTGGACTCACTCTCCATGGCACCGATGATAAGCAAATGGACAGTTGTTGCGCAAAAAATCACCTTTAAGAGCGGCGTCAGATAAGAGCCAACGCGCCATCTTTTGGGCTTTATGACATACATTAAATATTTTTTAATTTCAGGTGTGCAATGTCCCTGTAAGCGATTGACTTATTTACAAGTAGATGGCGACATCTTCAATATCAATTCGTTTACACAGTAATATACAGTGGATTAAATAGTTTTTAATCAGATGCAAATTATATAATAGTGTTTTACATTATTAGCTAGATGAAATAGTTTTTACTGGCGTTTGAAAGAAGTGACTAATGCTTCCCGAACTCAGCGACATCTTTAAGAGAAGATTCAAAGCTTGCTTTGAGTCTCTGCTGTAGATGATAGCAATAAGCTCCTTGTCAGTCCTTGTTTGGCAGATTTTGATTAATTTTGTGATAAAAACATTATAATTTTCGGAAATTCTGCCCTATTAATTTTTTCCAGCATTTTACGATCCGAAATTTTGGAAATTTATTGTTGGTGTGCTAGGTATTCGTCCCTTTTTCATCTAAATCCATGACCAAAATTTGCATATTGTTGTCAACAAAATTGTTCATAATTCTACTATTTAGACTGCGTATTTTGCAACTAAAAATGCGTCGACTCTTGCCTCAATCTATTATTGTTATGAATATAACTTCATTTTACTGAAAAGTGGTCTAAATCTGGAATATAACAGAAATTTGTGAAGGTCTGTAAATGACATTTTATTTAAACGCCCCTCTTAATTCATTTGAATCATTAATTAGAATAAATGAAACCTATTAGGCATAAGCACAGTAAGACGCCCTTAAGGAATGCGGCCAGCGCAACAAAGTGCTCGCTGCTACTCAGTCAGTGTGGGTCTCACAAAGACAACCCAATAAATTTAAGATTACCCAATAATTGTTTGACCACCTTACTCCAATGAGACTAAAAGAGAACAAATAATTAATAAAAAGATTAATAATATTAATTAAAACCTGTGCACGCTTATACTATGGTATACCGACGTGAGTTGGTACAAAAATTTCACTTTAAATATAGTAAATTAATATTCATTCAGTAGACACTACTTCCCATGGCCTTCGAGGTTTTGAATGGCTAACCATTTTCGCCCTTGGCAAACCAGTTTTAGTTTTGTGCTGGAGACAAACGACACAACGCCTAACAAACCTAGCTATGTCACTCCGCATTTTTGGCCAATAATATTTCTTAGCAGCACGTTTAAAAGTTTTATAAACGCCAGTATGACCGCAAGTAGGCGGTTTATGAACGCTGGCGATAATCCTTCCCCTCTCTTCCTTTGGGACCACTTCCTTCCAAATCTTGTCCTCTGGATTCAACTCAGGATACGGGCACTTGACATATTTCCACAACCTACCCTCATTTTCCCCCCACCCAAAAAACGTAAGAGGATGGGATTTGATCTTCCTCACCATACCAAGGTATCACTTATCGACAACAGGTAGAGGTGCATCAATCACAACAAGGTCTAATTTAGGTACAGCTCTAGAGAGCATGTCGGGGACGATGTGCTCTTTGCCTTTCCGATGAATCAATGTGAAATCGTATTGTTCGAGTTGAACTGGCCATCTTGCCAAACGACCTGTAGGCTGTTGCATATTCTGCAACACTAGTGAGTAGTAATCCGTGATCACTGAAAATTTGACAAGGTCCAATTAAGGACGAAACTTTTGAAGGGACCTCACAACGGCGAGACATTCCCTCTCTGTCGTTGAAAAATTCTCTTCCTGTTTTGTCAAACTTCGACTTATGTAACTGATAACTGATTACACGCTCCGTACCATCAGTATGAGGTTGAACCAAGACAGCCCCAATACCGTACCCGGAACTATCACACTGAACAACAAAATCCAAGGACTAATCTGGCGCAGCCAACACAGGAGCACTAATCAAACACTCTTTAGTACTCCTAAAAGCAGAGTCACAGTCTAGAGTACAGTCAAACTTACGATTCTCTTATCAAACTAGTAATGGGAGCTATAACAGTCGAGAAGTCCTTGATAAATCTGCGGTACCACGAAACAATGGGAACAGGGACGTCCAACATGGCCCTAACCTTATCGGGGTCGACGTATAATCCTTGGCTATCAACTACGTAACCAAGATACTTTAGACTAGGCTTACAAAATTGACACTTCGCTCGACCCACAGTGAGATTGGTCTGACTTAGCCTACGAAACACCTCCAGGACCTTCAAGTGCGTCTCGAAATCGGGCGTAACCACCACTATATCATCTAGACACACGAAAACATATGGCTCAAGATCAATTCTAAGGACATTATCAATGAGTCTTTGCCAAGTGGCAGGGGCATTATGTGACTCGAATGGGAGTCTCTTAAATTGAAAAAGACCACGATTTTGGATTGTAAAAGCGGTGTAGGGACGAGAAGACTCGGCGACTGGTACCTGCCAATATGCCGACTTAATGTCCATAGTGGAACAAAACTTGCTCTGAGAAAGTTTATCGAGGGTGTCAGCAACCTGAGTAAGCGCATAACTGTCGCGTTCACACACAGCATTAATCTTCCTGTAGTCCACACAAAGGCAAAACGAACCATCTTTCTTTTTAACCATAACGACTGGTGATTTTCGACGGTTCCACAACCCCAAGCTTTATCATCTCATCCAATTCCCTATCGATGTGTTGCTGCATTATGGGAGAAACTCTGTACCAAAGTTGCTTAATAGGCCTGGCCTTGGTAACAATAACATGTTCCACCTGATCTGGAAAATACGAGACTCGTAAGTGTTGCCAATTAATATTTCTTAGGAAGTAAACAAACATTTTCATTAACAGTTAGGGCTTTTTTGACAACTTTTGTAAGCTTAATAATAGTATATTATATACCTAGGTAGAGAAGTTGGCCATTATATACCGAGCGCTTTTATCAACCGAGGCGCAAAGCCCCGAGGTTTATAATGCGTGAGGTATATAATGACTTTCTCTACCGAGGAATATATAGAATTTTTTTTACTACTGCTAGTAGAAAATTTGCTTAAAATCTGTGCTCTAATTATTTTTTTTTTGAACGCCCTCTTGAAAGTGCTGCCCTCTATCAACAGCTTATGATAACTTCCTATGTACCTACAGAAACCTGTATTTTGTTTTAAATTGACGCATGAAATTGAAATTGAACCAATAGAAACATGACAATATCCTTGCGTCATGACGTCATTTTCATTATTGACCTAGGGACTTTTTCATTATTTTCATTATTCACCTAGGGAGAGAAATTCAATTTTTTCCTAGAAAAATAGATTGAATAATGACTATTTCTCAGGCAAGTAGTAAAAAAAATAGATTTCGATCCTACTAGTAGGGATTTATAATCTTTACACTACCCTGTCATCTGAATACAAAGAGTTGACTCATTATTACCTCGAAAAATACACCTTTGTTCAACACCTACATAACATATTGTTTCGCATCCAATCAAAAACGCAGAAACCTAGTAAAAACCCAATGAGAAACCTATTATCCACCGTAAATTATAAAACCTCAGGTATAGAGCTTCATAAATACCCTCACAAATACCTAAATCAAATACTGAATTTAATTCGAAATCTCAGTTACGTACTAAGGCAAAATTTGTACCTAACAGAGTGTCTGACGAACCGTCTCTATCGGATCACAGACACATCCTATTCAGCTTGGACCCTAATCTCAAGGCTGGGCCCAGTAAGTTCAGGAACCCCCGGAACACGAACTGGGATCAATACATTGAGATCCTAAGGGCTAAGCTAGAAGAGTTTTCCACGCCATGCCGGAGCGCGAGGCAAGTG